GTTTTCTAAGAGAACATGAAAGAAAAGTCAGTTTCTGGAATGTCTGGCAGAACAGAGACCCAATTCATTTTGTTAGGATATTGTTATGCTTAAGAGGCAGTATAATGGACATTGATTACCATTATATGGAATTAAAGGGGCAGAAAACATTGGTATTTGGGCAGAATTGGTGATCTGTTTGCCTAACTTGATCACTGTACTTTCCATTATTTTCCTTGTGTTACCCAGTTTACTCTCATTAATCCTTTGATTAACATAAAAGAGAGATTGGAAGGAAAAATAAAATAAAATTCTGAGTTTTTTTTAATACTGGATTCCAAAATATTTGGAGTTTAATATGCATTGGGAGTTGTTTTATAAGAAGTCAGGGTATAAATTGCAAAAGTACAGTCTAAGAAAATTAGAAGTGATATTACAAACTGTATATGATTTACTTCAAAGAGGTCCTCTATCAAACATTCAGTGGGGCTCATACCCATCAATGATATGGAATTATATTTCTTACTTTTGTCTTAGTCCCATCAGAATCAGTGACATAATTTTTCTAGCTCACAAAAGAACTACAAAGTGAGAAGTTCTGTCCTTTCTTCTCAGGACACTTATTCTCAGACAGTGGGACCACCATCCAGCCAGATGACAAAAAAAGAAATGTGGAAGTTATCCTATATTCTTTTATCCACCACAGCTAATCAATTCAATAAGGCCCTTTTAATTTTACCTCCATTACTATTGCTTTAGTCCAGGTCCTCATCAATTCTCCAGGCTTCTAATATAATCTCTTAGCTTTCAGGCCTGCCATCTCTCCATTCTAGACATTACACCCAGAGCATTGTATTTAATACCTGAATTGTGCGGTCACCTCCCTGATCAAATCCCTTTAATGGCACTCTGGAGCTTTCAGGATAATGGTCCAATGCCTTAGCTTAGCAGTCAAGGCCCTCTATGATTTAAACCCTGTTGACTATTCTAGTCCTTCTTCCATTTTAATATCTAATCCAGTTTAACTACTTTTATCCCCAATAAAGTATGTTCTTCATTGCCCACAGAGCATGGCAGCCTTCATCAGAGGGAAGTCACAGTGTTGCATCTAAATCAAATCAAGATATAATCTGTTCATTTAAAAAAAAAAAAAGGACACTAAGCTACAGAGAGGCTAAGTAGCTTACCTAAGGTCACACAGCTGGTTAGAAACACAATGGAATTAGGACCCAGTGTTTAGGCTTAACCTTTTTTTTAATCTCTTTCTGACATTGCTCAAAGTGGGCAAAGTCATACTCTTTCTCAGAAAAAAACTTTGAAAATCCTAAAATCATACTAATCCTTTGGTCTTCATTAACGAACTGGCTTTAACATGTGTATAAAAAATCTGTTACAAGTACAGAGTTTTCCTTTCACCCAATGCAACATATTTTTCAGAAGCCTTCTCTTTAGTAAGTCCACCAAGACTTCAATACAGAGAAAGCTCTCTACCTGAAGATTAATCTTCAAATTCAACACATTGCCAAAATAAAATCTCCCAAATAAAACAATGGCTGAGGCAGATCTGATAATGAATATAAAATATGCCAACAATCACCTGTCACAGAATATAAAATATGTCACAGAATCACCTGTCACTTGACTTTTGTGATTAATAGTAAGATGAAATCTTGAAACACATAAGAATAAAGCAAACAACCAAACAGGAATATTTTGGAAAGGGTCCTCTTTGAAATGTACCTGTTAGAAAACAGATTCTGTCTTTTGGTTATTATCATCAGATGCCTACCCAGAAATTCATTTTCAAATCTTATAACCCAAATGCAACCCCAAATTCAAAATTTGAATTGGTTGGCGTGTTCAAAATCTGCTCTGAGATGGACAACAAACGAATGAAATGTTTTCAGAAGGAATAAGCAGCACATTCCAACATTGATTGGGTTAATTCATGCTTCAGCTGATGGCCTTCCCTTTCTGGTTCTTTAGTATCCTGTTTCTATTAGGAAATGAAGAATCCAGGAAATGGGATTATGAAGCCATCTCCAAACATTAGTATGGTACTGAAAAAAGTGAGCAAAGAGACACAGATTTTCAAGGGAAGGATGGGGAGGGAAATTGGCTTGAGCCCAAACTGTCAGAAATGGTGAGTGAGGTGGGTTTATCGAAATCTGATCATGTCATCATGCCCTACACTGCATTTACTGGCAAGTCAGGGCACTGGAAAGGGCAGATCACATTAGGAAAATGCTTGGAAGAGGAACAGAAATTACCTGTTGAATAGTAGAATTTGATTTGTTAGCTTAGGATTTCAGTAGACTCCTGGATACCCAGAGAATCCATCCATCAAATTAACATGGTGGTGGGAGTGTGGGGCAAATAGAACTAGAGATTGTGAGGAGAGGGAAGGAGCAGAAAGTAAGGAAAGAATAGTAAGAATTACTATTACTAAATATTTAATTTATGGATTAAACCAGGAAGAACATTGACTAAAAGATGCAAAAGATTACTCAGGAACTTTCATTTTACTTGAAATATAAAAGCCAGGCAAGTATATATAGGGTGTAGTGAAGAAAACACAACAGCAACAACCCAGAGGGAGGGAAATTATATAACACTCATATCCATAATGTCAATACTACAATTACTCATATAAAAAAGCAGATTTAATTTTTTTCAAAGTATTCCTGAAATAATTTATCTCTTTATTTTTTTCTTTATTTCTTTTTTATCCTCATCTGAAGACATTTTTTCATTGCTTTTATAGAGAGAGGAAGGGGTTGCGGGGGAGAGAGAATCAATTGTTTGCTTTCTCTTCTCGTAAGCACCCCGACCAGGGATCGAACCTGCAACCTGAGTATGTACCCTGACTGGGAATCAAACCTGCAACATTTTGGTCTATGGTACTACACTCCAAACAACTGAGGCACACTTGCCAGGACACTTTATTATTTTGTTTAAGAGCTTGAAATATGCTCTATATCAGAAGTCTCCTAGGATAGCTATGATCTTTCAAAAATCCAGATGTCACCTGGAAAAGAAGTTCTCTAGTAAAACACACCCTGCCTTTTGGATATTGAGAAAATTGGAAAGGTTCTGCTTTGTTGGATGAATTGTAATAAAGCACCTTGTTAATAAAGGATATTAATAAAAGATGGTAGGGTTGAGCTGTATGCCAACAACAGTATTGGTGTAGTATTGACAATGTCTGCTGATACATAGCATGGCCAGTACTTTCAATTAAAAAAAGATGACAGGTCTTCTAAAAATATTTTATCTCAGATAGACACTTCTCTGTTGGTTTTGTGGCATGTAAATGATGAATAGCATTTCCCATTAAACAACTAGACTGTTAATTAATTAATAATGACAGTGATATGTACACACCTGTTAAGAACATTCTGTAAGTTAGAAAGCATCATTTTAGGGTGAAGCCAATGACTGACTTTAACTGAAAAATGCTTTTCATTGTACATCAAATTGCTAGAATCAATTTTCACTACCATAGTTGGATTTGCCAAGACATTCTTTGCCCCAGACCCTTGATTCAGCAGTGATTCTGGAGAAAAATTTACATTCATTTGTTAGTTCCCTGGTCTCATTCTTTTTCATACCTTATTACACACGTGGTTCCAATACAGGAAAAGCACTTATATCCAAGAAAGCTTCTCTCCCATTCCCCATCTTCAAACCTGCTTTTCTTCCTGAATACTCTTTTAGAGAAGCAAACCATCACCATGACAACAATATGATGGGGGTTTGTGCAGGACATGGGGGCAGTTTGTGTTGAACAGAATAAGGAAAACTCAGAAGGTGGGAAATAAATACTCCTTTGTGAAAAGCCACTTAGCTATACAGAACTAATTGTCCACATCAAACTTGACTCAACCAGAACACTGCCTTGGTGGAGCGGGGTGGGGGCAGGGGGCAAGGTTGAAAAACACACATTGCAAGTGTAGTCTACTCAGAGCTAATTCTTTAATCTTTCATGTGGCTGATTGGACTCAATGTCCAGTGGTTATTAAGCCAAAATATCATATTAATATGGAAAAGAGAATTAAGAACTTTGCCTTGCCTTTTTAACTTCTAATGAAGGTGGGATATCCAGAGATTAGCACGTTTCCCAAATAAATGTTTCCATATTCTCTTTTTCTGGGGAAAAATATCTGTTCTCTGTACCTGTTAAATTTCATTTGTATTCCTTTCCCTACAAGGCAGATGATGAAGGCAAATTATTATGGAGTTGTGGGGGCTTTTTCAATACCTTTAATGTATTTGCTTCTACAAAGAGGAGTGCCGCAGACACAAGGTAGCAGTCCTAGCCCAGGTGTAGTACCATTCTTTTGTGTATCTCAAAGCCTGTGAGGGAGAGCTCCAGGCATACATTGAGCATATATTTAACAATACTTTCCCACTACTGACTCCTCTTAGGAGTCTAAAATTATCATGCTGGTTTTTAAAAAACAAACAAAAAAAAAGACACAAAAAAACAAAAAAAACAAGAACACCCAAAAAGTCACAATCTCATGAGGTTCATTCTTTGTCTTTACCTGAGCAACCACCTAAGGACACAGGACTTTTAAAATAATGAGGAGAATCCTTTGTTCTCTCAGGTTCCATTTAAAGGGAAAGTGGGTCGCAGGGCTTCCCCAGGGAAGGGGGAAAAAAACCCAAACAAACCCTGGAGCCAAACACAGGGGAGTAAAAGATTTCATTCCCACTATTGCTCCCACCTTCCCAAAGAAGTTAATTAATTCTGTTTAAGGGATATTGTTGAGGGGTGGAGCACTCAGGAAGCCCATTTTCTGGACTATAATCTTATTCTCCAATGTGGCTCAGACCATGGTCTCCTCCCTGCCACCATGGGGTAAGAGGCACTGAAAACCTTTCCAGCCATGGGCAGCAGAGTCGGTATTGCATGCATTCCTGCTCCCCAAAATGTGCTGTCCTGGCCCAAGTGCAAAGTTGGGTATTGACACCTGAAAAGCACAATTAGAGCCATTCAAAGCAGCAAGTTACAGTACCTTAAGAAGTCTGACAGATGGGAGAAAGGCTGCGTGGCACAGCTTCCGAATGGTCCAGTTTAGGGGTCGAGGAGCATCAGTCTGATTCATGACCCCTTGAAAATTCCACCGGGAAAACCAGAAACTGCAAACCTGAGCAACGCCTAGAAAATAAATGGCCCCCCACGCCCCTGGCGTCCCATGGTCATTTCCACATCTGCAAATTCCATTAGGGCAGAGGCTTCCTGGAACTTGGGAGACTAGTCAAGTGGCGGTGCCTGAGCCACTGAACCTTCTTGAGAAAGCCACCTCCCCTCTGCCTGCAGCGGTGCTCATGCATACCAAATGTGGCTGAATGGAGGCACACTGCCTGCTGCTTCGGGGAGCGGATGCACGGTTTTGAAGGAGAGGGGCAGCCTGCAGGAAACAGCCTGTGGTCGGAGTGAGAGCAGCCTGCTCAGAATGCGCGCTCCCTCTCCCGCTCTCCTCCCCGTAAAGGCAGGGCAGGCACTGGGGGAGAACCCGGGCCATTTGCTCTGCTCGCTTGGTTTTGGGGGGAGCCAGGAAGAGAGGAAAGGGGAACATCAATAAAGCCAGAATGGGGAACTTGCACTTTCTTACACAAAGCATCTTTGAGGGGCTGGAAACTGGCACAAGGGGAGGGGCTAGGACACAGGGAGAAGGGAGGACTCCGAATGATAAGATAAACACTTCCCTTTTGATTTATGTGACAGAATAAATTGAGAGCTATTATAAAATTGATCTATACTAAAGGGGATCTCTTTCATGTTCTGGGATTTTTATTAACTGTGATTGACGGTCCTCATCCCAATATAAACATTATATAGGTGACAGACGGCAAAAGAAAAGCAAACTAACACGCACCCAGGAGCTGCGAGTTATTCCTTTCATAGAAAGCAGTGTAAAAGAATGCGTGTTTGGCTCGTCTTTCAAATGTGGCACTACCTAAATTGGGGGTTATCCCCTTCTAGAAAGCTACTTGACACTCTCTGCGACAAAATTTTAACCCCTGAGGTACCAACTGGAATGCTCTCTATAAAAGATGGAGTTTTCTGAAGCAGGGATACACACCCTCATCATTTTCCAGGGAGAGCTTTAAGAGAGAATTGCTGTGTTGGCGTATGTAGTCTTTAGAGATCCTGAGGTAAGAGAATAAAGGGGAACTTTTCAATTTGAAGGTGGACATTGGATAATTTCCCTTACAGTAGTGAAGTTCGCTGGTTGGGCAGTTGAATTCCCCCATGAGTCCAGGCGTGGGAACTCAATGGATGCAGTTAGCCAGTTGCTGCCCCTGAGAATTCCCACATCTTTAGAGCATTGGCCTCTTATTTTTCCTCTCTATGTCCCTCCATATGACTATGATTTTCTATTTGAAAAATAAGATTTTCTATTTTTAATTAACTTGAAGAGACTGGTAAATCCCAGATTCATGACTACTATGAATTCTGAAGCAGAATGAGGGCGGTAAGAGCAGATGTGAAACACAGGAACCCCGCTGTGATTCAGAATTTGGGAAAATGTGAATCTTCCCTGGGGTGTAATAAACACCTGACACACTGCATTACAACACTGTTTCCCGCACAATGGTCCTGTGTTCCAGATCTAAGGACACTATTGCAGAAAATCTAGTCCATTGGTGGAATCCAGACCCTTAACTTGCCTCATATAATAGAATTCGTGCATCTGAATATCTTCTATTAAACAATGTTACTTTAATAGACCCCCCACACAGTAAGTTCATTTGCTGTCACCATTCTACTTCCACAAAGGAGTAAAGGTAGCTTTAACATAAGTGCTAACATGTCAGGCATTGTGCTGGGCAACTAAATGCATTACACAAGTTCATGTCAATACAACCTTATGAAGTAGGTGCTACTGTCATATCCCCATTTCACAGATTAAGCAACTGAGGTCTTCAGAAATGAGTAACAGGCCTAAACCACATTACAACTGAAACAAGTCGACCAGACTACAAAAATAAGCTCTTTTTTTGCTCCGATTTCTTTCATAATTAAGGGGGCCACAGCAGTAAAGCCACTGTCCCATTTCCTGTTGTTTTAACCTTATCTAAGTGGCAATGTAAAAGATCTTGAAGAACTGCTCAGTATTTCTTTCATATTATTTCTTTGGTATGACATTGAGGTGGTAATTAACACTATGAATTCTGAAATCAGGCTGCACGGTACAAATTCTAATTTTGACCCTGGCCTTGGGCAATTTACTTACTCCTTATCTATAAAATGGAGATTAAAAATAAAACCATTCACCTAAGGCTGTTGTGACCAGTAATGAGCTAATACCGGGAAGGACTTAGAACAGTGCCTGACACATACTAAGTCCCTTACACCAAGATTTATCTTCTAGGCAGCATGTACTGATATTGAGGACAGAAACCACTGATAATTTCCAGGAAGTAAGCACAAGTGTGCATACTTATACTACCAGGTAATGAAGTCAAACAAGACAGATTAAACCTGAATGCTTCTTATGAGTTACCATGAGTTGAATAAATGGGGTAAAGAGGAAGGTGGGAGAATACGAGGGCAGTACACATTTCCTTATGCTATATTGCAGAGTGGTATTCATCAGATCACAAATGTTGCCTTTAGTTAGGCTACAAGGCTCCAGCCTTTCTAAGCTATTAAATGCATTAAATGCTATTAAGTGGTTCCGTTGTGGTTGGGAGAAATCTGCTCCACGAAAACGCTAAAACACTGCAGTTGCCTCTCCCCTGCTCTTCGAGGTGCCAAAATGTTAAGGACCCCACAAAAATGATAGCATCATTTTCATAACACACAGCCTTTGATCCTCCTAGCCCCTTTAATTTTTACTGAATAACTTTGGTCAAAGAGAATAGTTAGGAACTCTGTGGAATGGGGAAGTAGGAGGATTCACAGTCCTCTCTAACATCAATTAGAGGAAAGGAGCACAAAACTTCCAGAGAATTGATTTGGAGATTACACTGCAAAACGGGTAAAGATCAAAGAAGGAGGACAGTGCATGAGAGGGTTTTTTTTCTTCCATTGTTGGAGTAGTTTGTGACAGAATTCTTTGCTAACAAAACATCTAAAGCAGGATCCCCCGGACCCATCTTTCAGGAAAGGGTATTTTGACATGGAATGATGCCTCCCTGGGTTCTAGAGAACAGTCTAATGAGGAAAGAATAGAGAGAAGCAAGCGTAGCCCCAAAAGTTAGCATCTCATAAATCCAAAATGCTTGTTTACAAATTTTATGAATGTGGATATTTATAAATCTACAGAACAAATCTAGCAGGTTTAAAAGTCTGGCTTGACCACATTAACTTTCAGTACTCTAAAACATAGCAAACCCAGCATGTCAAATCTCTGTACTTCGAAGCCTGCACTTGAAAAAGCTAATTCTCTCCCATGCTACATAAGCCTACATCCCACTGATCATCATCACATTTTATTTCCTATGTAAATGATGTTGAATTTAAGAACCATGATAGGATTGAACTTCCTTAATGCTAACAATAAGCCACAGTATAGACATTTTGCATTCTTTCTTTTTGAAAACCATGTTCCCTTTCTTTAAACACATCACAGCAACATCGATGTAGCATTACACCCCTTTCCAAATGTCTTCCTTTGTACCCCTTAGATATAAAAGAAGCTGACCCATGAAAAACTAAGAAACAGAAAAGGAATGATACAGTGACCAGGTGTTCCAAAGCCTCCTGCTAAAACTTATTTTCTGTTCACAACACTCAAAAAATATTCCAGTGTAATTGTTAACAGTGTATTACTATAATATTGGAATTCATAGGTGCATGGGCATTAATTGAACATTTTAGGGATCTACTAGATGAATGTAATATACATAGTACAGAAGAACAATATTTATTTATCCTGGAGAAATATCAGGACCGGCCCAATAGTGAGCCTTTGTACCTAACTTCATTTACCTTTATATTTTACAATCTCAGCACTAACATCTTGGCTGCTTTATGACTAACCTCATTTATTAGCTTTGTTGTGTTTGATAATTCACCCTTTTTGTCAGAAATTAATTTGTTATGAATCCTATGGCAATTTATTAATTTTTGGTCAAAAAACATGTTCTTCCTGTTTCTTCCCCTTAACTGTACTCAAAAACAGCTATACATTTTTTGGAAATTTTAGATGTTTCTACAATATGTTCAAAAATATTAAATATCTTTATAGATTCCATTGACCTAAAGAATAGTTCTTAGTTATTTTCAAATATTTGCTCTTGAAATAGATAAAATAACTTACTTTCTTTACTTATTTTTTGCCTTTTGGCATCTTTTATGGGTAGTAGATTCTAAGGTACATTAAAATCTGTTAAAATAAATGACCACGTTGTTAGGTAGCTTAAATAGCATTTAATCTGTGTAAAAAGAAAAGACCTCAGAATTAGAGTAGTTTTCTACTCTGTTTTCTCCTTAGAATTAACTGGAAGCTTACCACCTGCTTCCCTGACTACTGCCCACCCCCCAGCCCCATGAACTCCTGTAGTGACAGAGAGCAGGTGAGATTTTGAGGCAGCCCATTCTGTGGCTGGACAGCTCTAGTTGACAGAAAGTTTTTCCTAAAACCTAAATAAAATGTGCCTCGCTGTCACCTCCAGGTTGAGTTTCTCTTCTGGAGAATGCTTCTCCAAATGTATAATGACAGGCAACAAGCACCACTCAAACTTGCTCTTTTCTGCATTGGACATCTTGGGCCTTAAATCCTTCTGCACATGTTGGAGTATAGTTATTTAAAACCCTCTTCAGGGCTAGAGTCAATAATATGTTACAGGGGCACTTTAAATATAATAGTGTCTAATCCTCTTAAATCCTTTGACTTCTCATAAATTCCTTTAGGGATCTTCACTAGTAATTTAGCTTCTTTGAAAAATTTTCTTCATGAAGGTTATGCAACTTTGGTTTAAGTAATAGCTGATCCCCCCTGCCCGACCCACACAGACTCAAAGCGAGTGTGCCAAACAGAACCTCTGCTGCAAAGTGACCTCCATTATATCTGAAGCCAGAACGCTTCTAGTTTCCCTCTCCCTCCCTCCCTCCCTCCCTCTCTCCCTTCCTTCCTTCTATCCTCCCTTCCTCTCTTCCTTCCTCCCTCCCTCCCTCCTTCCTCCCTCCCTCCTTCCCTTTCTCTCTGTCTCTTTGACTCTCTCACACTCTTTCTTTCTCTTGACTCACAAAGAAGGCAGTGATACCCCCTGCAAATTGGGGATAATAATTCTACCTATGTCAAAGGAATACTGTGAAATTAATTAGCTATTACCTGCAGAACCCTTAGAAGAGGAACCAGTACACAGTAAGAGCTCAAAAATATTAGCAATATGAAGTCATTCCCAAAGCTGATGCTCTAGGAAAAGCAAAGCAAAACAA